GGAAATTTTTTTTACACAGAGTCAACTTAATATTTTCTATGCTTGTCAACAAAGAAATATGCAGCAAACAGATGCGTTTGGTCTGGAGCAATGTTCGGATTGATTTTACTTGACAGGTAAACAGAGCATGCATAATTAATTCCTGCCCTTACGTTTTAGGGCTCCCATCTACAGTTCTCATACTGTGGGTTTTGACCAGATTCTTCTATGATGACAGAGGGTATGTTTTTACTGTTGTTACTTTCATATTTCTGCATTTTATTTAAAGCAGCTTGCCAGTCCATGTGAACTATTATATCTATTTTTGTAGGTTTAGTATTGCACTGACATTACATTTGGCTTTACAGTTGCTGGGATGACACAGACAATGTTGGCATCTGGTGGATTATTAAGGGACCAATAACAGCCTCACTGCTGGTGAGTATAGGAGTTAAACACCAAGTACCTGATAAACTTGCCTGTCTGGTTTTTTGTTTTGTGGTGGCAGATTTACAATTAAAGTTTTATGAGGAAATTTTACACTAAAGTGGGATTCTTCAGGCAGAGGAAGTGCAAGTTTGTGGCCCTTGGGGCAGTGATCATGAAATATTAAATAATATACCAGCGATGTTTTAAAATTTTAGGAGCTTGTTAAGAAACATGTATTGGTGGTTTTGTCTTTTAAATCCTTTGATGTCAGATTTTCTTTTGTCAAAGCTAAAGGTTAATAAATATTTGCCAACATACTGAGAGACAGAAGTTTTCTTGCAAATCACATTTGTTCCTGGCACAAGTTTAACTAGTTAATTAAGATAACTTTACTTCAGTGAGTTGGTAGAAATGAACATCTCTGGCAGCCATGGTAATATTTCAGTTAACCGAGGTTGTTTACTCACCTGTACTTTTTCTGGACTCGGTCCACTTCCAGACAAACTCCAGAGTGGTTAGTTTATAGTGAGGATCTGATCCAACTTCGAGCCGACCCAATTTCCTGGTGTACGCTGCAAGATTGAGCTAAAAGCCTCCCTGAATTCTTTACGTTTTGCATTATGAGATGCAACAGAGTTCTGTATACATTCAGAGTACATTTTTTTCCTGAAATATTACTGTGATAAATATGATAAACACATTGATTTTCCACGTAATCAACTAGTCCAGAACATAGTATCTTTTTCCTGTATTTACTTTTCTTGCCTCAGACACATTTGGCCCATCAGCGGAGTGAATGTTCTCGTTTGCAGTGACACATTGTGGTTCACTTTGTCTCGAGTTCAATAGTAATCACCTTTATCCTGTGATGATACAGGATTTTTAAATTTTTCATTCCCCTGTGATAACACTGAATGTCTTTTAACTAGTGTGTATCTGATTTTGCCATTTAGGCCACTGTGCATGTTTCTCTTCCAGATCAACATAGTCATCTTCGTCAACGTCATCCGGATTCTGGTTGAAAAGCTTAAATCTTCTGCCATGACAGGGAACAATGACACTGGACACTTTATGTGAGTCACGAGGAGAGATTATCACCGTGGGACAATGTGGGGCACAGTGTACAATGTTGTGCTAGTGCAAAATTTTGTTATAGCTGTTTTTTAAAAATATCATGCAACAGATCCAGATTTAGCTGAAGTGTTTACATGTGGCTGTCTGCACTTGTGTATTCCCTCTTTTGGTCAAAATTAATAGAAGAACAGTCCGTCGTTCTTGTGATACAAAAAACAGAGAAAAAACTGCATCAACAAGTTGCTCCACTACTGCCTGTTAACTGAAGGACAGCAATATTCTGAAAAGTCAGTACGCATTTAAATCCCTTATTGAGATTAAGAGGGTGGCCTCTATTGAGATTAAGAGGCCACCCTCTTAATCTCAATAAGGTGCATAAAATTCACAAGACAAAACATTAAACAAAATAGTTAAAATCACATTAATACAAATGAAAACTTTTCCAGAGAAAAAGAAACACTCAAAAACACCTGTTCTGTTTGTTCATCATGGCAACAACAGCTTACAAGCCCACACAGGACATGCACCCTAGCACCCTGAAAGCATGTTTGAAAAGCAGGAAATTTTCATCTGACTCTGAAAAAATGACTGGTGCTAGTTTACTGCAACAGTCTAATGAACTTTGTGATTGGGTTTGCTGCACAGTGTGGTAAATGCTAGTTATTTCAGCCACTTTTATCTTTCCATTCATTTTCTTTGGTTCAGAGTTTAAATGCTATACCTCCTGACTGTAGCTAGGTAACTAGATAGAGTTTGTCACCTACTAATCAGAAGGTTGGTGGTTTGATCCCTGGCTGCTCCAGTCTGCATGCTAAATATCCTTGGGCAAGATATTAACCCCAAGTTCCTCTGCAGTGGGCCCATCGGAGTGTGGATGTGTGCGAATGTTAGATAAAAAGCACTTAAACACAGAAAAAAGTAAATGGGTGAATGAAGCAAGTTGTATAAAGAACTTCGAGTGCTCAGGCAGAGTAGAAAAGTGCTATATAAGAACCAATTATATGATTATGATTGACATCATAAGGAGCCCCCAATGAGACGGCCTCTTCTTCTTTCTCTTATTGGATAAGAGCCAGGCTTTGAAAAGTGTAACTCAGTGTTGATTTATGAGATGTAAGGAACCAATCAAAATGCTGAACATATGCCCCTCGCAAAGTGGGACATATGCTCACTCTAGTCACAAGTTATTGATGTGACATATAATAGCTTTGATTTGATAAAAAGCGTGCTGCTCTTTAATAGAAGCTGTAAAGTAGTAAATTAATATGAAAACCAAAAACCTTTAGGGCAGCAGTAAGGTAAGAGGAGTCTGTGAGGATGGACTGCTCAGGAAGGCTGTTTTATCTAGTGAAAATGAGATTTGATAATACGTCTCAGCAGGAAACCTTACAGCTGATGAACAGATTTCTGATTTTGAGGAAGAAAAGAAGTAGCTTGCACCAATCAGCTAATACAGCACTCTAAAGAGCTCTGAACTTACCCCAGTGTGTGCATGTGTGATGTCAGGAAATGATGAAGAACAAATAACCTATCAGATAAATTAGTTTCGATATCCATACATCTTACATAGGGTGCTGAACTTAATCTTAGTGCTATTTTGATAAACCATCATTTTAATAATCTGTAAGTTTAAAATTTAAACACTGTACAAGAATAAAATTTGATTTCTTACAGATTACATTTGTACTTATAAGAAATGTCTTGTATGACTGAAAAATAAGATCAAAGCCACACTTCCCCTCTCTGATGCAATCTCTTTCAAGTTTTTTTTCTTTTCGGGATTGGATATGCTCTGTGAGTTTGCAACTTTCACCGTCTTTCTTTGAAGCCTGGATGTGAGCCAGCACATCACAAGTATAGGTTTGAATAAATCAAACCAAATTCACACAAATATTTAGAAACAACTGTAAATTTTGTGTATTACATTCTTACAGACATATATTGTGCCCAGAAGACTAATCCTTTTTCACTTTTCACCAACGTTTAATCTTGTTCTCTCATGTGGATGAAAGTCGTATAACTTACTGAAATGTCTCAACTATTGGAAGGGTTGAAATCTGGTTTTATCCAATTTATCCAATCGCTCAGAAACTCAATACATGTAGGGATCTAGATTTGGCCAAGACGACCTGCTGAATTTCAAATCAAGCAGAATGAGGAAGAAAGGGGATTTAGGTGACTTTGAATGTGGCATGGTTGTTGGTATCAGACAGGTTGATCTGACTGTTACCTAAACTGCTGATTTGCTGGGATTTTCCCACACAACTAACTCTAGGGTTTACAGAGTGTGGTCAGATAAAAAGAAAAGTTCCAGTGAGCATCAGTTCTCTGGCTGAAAATAACTTGAAGAAGAAGCAGACTTGCCCGGTCTGATTCTGAATTTTTGTTGCGACAGATGGTACGGTCAGAATTTTGCAGAAAAATAAATGATAAAAACAAGACTGGCTTATGACATAATAACTTTTATAAGTCAGGTGAGGTAGCAGCCTCACCTCACCATAGTGGCCATGCAAGATGATCTACGCCCTTGGTAAGTTTTAAGGAAAAAAAATATGGTTTTGGTAAAAATAGATCCATCGGCAATGTGAAATCCCAGAAATAAAAATTTCTCACAATATCATATTTTTTTCCGCCCCGATTTGCAATGATACATCCCAAGAACTCCATGACTTGCTCACTTGCTATTAGCAGAACTGTACCATCATGGTACCATAATGAAGATCAACGTTACAAGTGTCTAACACCAACAAGTGGATACATGAGATAATTTTGGGCTTTACTTATGGGAACCTATAGCTCAGGTGTGAGTTAAAAACATCATATGCAGAGAAAAGTGGTTCAGCATTAATAAAGCTGAGCTTTAAATCATTTTCTTGCACTAAACTCTTTATAATTCAGTTGGATAAATAGTAATTTATTTTAACATGTAAACCTTTTGCTGGGTGTTAAGTGGAAACTGCTAACTGAGGCAGTAGTATGTAAGAAGAAAAGGTGAGGGGGAGCTGTTTAAATCCCTTGACAAAAGTTTGAATGGCTTCTTACACTTTAATATAATATATGCATACATGAATCTACTGCAGCAGCAGTGAAACCCTGCTTCACCTGAAAGAATCCTTCTTTCTCTTGACATCTGGCTGGTGCACATTTGTGCTCAGCTGAATTAATTTAGAATGAGAGCATATAAAAATAGCTCCAGATTCCAGAAATAGATGTTACCTACTTTGACGTGCGACAGGATTGTTCCACCAGTTCAATGAATGTTTCACAGGATTAAAAGCCCCGCCTGTCGTAGGAACTTAAATTTAATTCAGGAGGAACCTTGGTGTTCACACAAAGGCACAAATTATTCACCTGAAATAAGCTGATAGCTCCCCTCCATCTTTAATCTTTAAGCAGTTGAAGCTGTGATAATATTTCTGATTAGAGCTATTTTATGGTTTAATCTGACTATCTAGATGACTAAAACATATACTGCAACATCCTCATACATGTGAGAGTGTCACTGAGGAAACTAAAGTGAGAATAAAAAACACACACATGTCAGTTGTTAGGATAACAGCTGTCTGTTGATCTCTGATGAACTGGATACTGTTGTGAGTGGATCTGTACCCAGCTAGGTTTTCCAATCTCAATAGGATATACAGAAAAGTAAATGATGAAGAGCATAAACATGATACTTATCTCAGTGTCTTTTGATGATGAAGCAGATGTTGAGTTGCTCTTTTCAAACCGCATTACTTGTGGGAAACCGTTTCAACAAAATGTCATAAGAAATTAAATGGCAACATTTACATGATATTTAGACATCAGTGATATGAGCTGAACTAAGCACAATGTGTTCAGGTTTTGTGTTTTGACATTTTAATCTTTTCCACTGATTGGCCTGATGACGATGTTGTTTTAAAGGTCAGTGTAATGAAAATCTGACACCACCATTGTAGCTTTGATGAAACCTGAATGACGCATTTAGTCTGTCTGGCATTTGAAACTTGTACCTCTGACATGACTGAAAGTAGCTGACCATACTGGTAACACACTGTAATCTTTCAAAGTGTTGCATCATTATCTGGACTTATTTTTTATTTTTCAGTCCTTTCTTTTTGCTTCACTCAGGAGGCTGGCAAAATCCACCCTGTTCCTGATTCCTCTGTTTGGGATGCACTACACTGTATTTGCCTTCCTGCCTGAGAACACTGGAGTAGCAGCCAGACTCTACATCGAGCTGGGACTGGGCTCCTTTCAGGTATAAAACTTCAGAATCACAGTTCAGAAAGAATTGCTAAAAATAAATAACTCACATTTCTCAAGTTGAAATTCTTCCCAGCAGATTTATTTCCTTGTCACATTAGAAGCACAGGTGTTACAAATCTGAATCATCGTGGAATTGATATTTATACCTGTGCATGCACAATAATAACTAAAGCTCGTCAGCTGAAGGCCAGATGAACTTATGTGATGGTGAGGTGTCTGCCATCCATCCCTCAGTCTGTTCCAGCACCTGTCCCTCTAAAATTCACTGAATTCTCAACTCGATTATTATATTTTAGAGAAACCTGCGCACACTGATATCCTATTGTATCTTCCAATTTATCAAGATTATGCGCAAAGTTAAAACAGGAGGTAACAGAGGGATAAAGCTGATGAGTGATCCCATGTAGACATTCAGTTGTAGTTCATGGAGCTAGGTTAAGGAGAGAGGTGATATCAGTTAGCAGCAGTATGGGTTCATGCCAAGAAGTAACACTACAGAACTTGGAAAGAAAAGCATCTGGACTGAAGACGTTTCACCTCTCATCTAAGAAGCTTCTTCAGTTCAAAGAGCAACTGGTGGAGAGTCCCAGATTTTAAGCCCTACGGGAATGTCCCCAAGAGGGTCTGGCACTCTCGGAAGTTTCTTGGATGACAGCTGTATAGTCCAGACACTTTTCTCACCAAGCTCCTTAGACTGCAATGATCTGGATGACTGAGAACCTTCACAGACAACACTACAGATAAGATATTTGAGAGAGTTGATAGAGAAATATAGAGAAGGCCAGAAGGAGCTTCACTGTGTGTTCATGGATCTAGAGAAGTCATTGATTGTGTGCTTGGAGGAACTGTGGTATTGTATGAGTATATCACTGAGGTGCAGTAGGAGACAGAGACACAGATGAGTTCAAGGTGGGAGTAGGACTACATTAGGGATCAGCTCTGAGGACCTTCTTGTATGCAGTGGTGATGGACAAGTTAAAAAAGGAATGAAAGTCAGTAGATACAAGACAGAATACAGGGTGCACAGCAGAAGTGAAGAGGAGAGTGCAGTCAGGGTGGAGTTGGTGGAGATGAGTGTTGGGATGATTGTGACAGAAGGATAGCAGCCAAAGTAAAAGGGAGGGTTTACAAAATGTTAATGAGACCTGCTGTGATGTTTGGTTGGGATATGGTGGCACTGACAAAAACACAGGAGCTGATCCTGAAAGTGGCAATGTTGAGGATGTTAAGATTTTCATTGGGAGTGACCAGGATGGACACGATTAGAAATGAGAATATCAGAAGGAGGGCTTGAGCGATAGAGACACAAGGTTGAGATGGTTTGGGCATATGTAGGAAGAGTACATTCATATGAATATGTGGCAGAAGAGGATACTAGGAATACTAGATACTAGGAGAAATGGAAGCAGATGATCTGTTATGGCGACCCCTAAGAGTGGCAGCCCTTGCTGGCTGAAATAATCACGGTCATAAATAACCACTCCATAATATTTGTGCATGTGTAAGACTATAACTATGTGGAATGTTGACATTTATGCAGCACAAAATGTATCCCATAAACATGACAAAATGAATTAACAAACAACAATAAATCAGCAACCGAATGACTTCTTCAAAGCCTGCAGCTTCATCCTGTTTTGCTTGTTTGTTCTCTGAAGTTATTGTGATGCTTTGTGCAATTAAGTGTTAGCAACACAAGTCACTGTTTTCCCTTAAGCGGACTGTACATGCAATCAGTTCTTACTCTTATGATTTTATCTTGAAACAGATGTCTTTTATGTTGCAGGGGTTTGTGGTGGCGCTTCTTTACTGTTTCATGAATGGAGAGGTAGGCAAATGGAGGGGAAGCTTGTGTAATAAAAAAAAGTCATACAAACATTTATCATAAATAGCTGCCCTGAGGTAAGAGCTATTCTTTGGAGTGAAAACCTCAAACACATTTTTTGGTATGGGTAAATGGCAGCATTGCAGAGACATTAACCATTTTGCTCAACAGGTGAACAAAAAGCCTAGGCATCTGTAACTTTCTGCAATTTCTATTTGTTTGCAGGTCCAAACAGAGCTGCGGAGGTGGCTGTGGAAGTGCCACAATCAAAGTCATCTCACACCAGCTAAGAGAAGCATCACTCAGATCACAATTCGGACTCATGGGGGGCTCGGGCTGCCTGCTTCTAGTGGCAACATCTCTTCTGTATGATTTCAGAGATCATTAATGAAGAAAATGTTTCACAAAGGAAAAGGAAGGGGAAAAATGAATCAGTCCTTGGAGCTGAACATGCTGATGACATTAATTCAACAACCCCTCTCTAAGAACAGGTTACCAGAATGAGCACAGGTGAGTGAGGAGGAAATGTATCAGGATGCATTATACTGATTTCAGAAGCAGTTGTGGCTGCAGTTTAAGGATGGTACAGCACACATTTCTCATTTGAAACACAGCGTGCTCTTTCTTGGACCGTCTCCGATGGTGGTTGATTTGTAGGGATGTCACGGTGCCACAGAGGAAAGAGGAAAACCTGGGGACAGAGCTGGCCCTGAGTTAATGACTGAGCAAAAATGTTGTGGAATCATATTTAGCATTTGCAGACACATGACAGCAAACCTCAGATGTTAATTTGTCTGCCATTTTGAGTGTGTGAGCATGGTGACATTGCAGTAATAATGCTAATAATAATGCTAATAGTAATGCTAATAATGATACTAACAGCAATGTTAATAATAATAACAACAATGATTATTTCATTTAAAAAATGCAGTTACAAAATTCCTAGTTTGGATGAAACAGGATGTAATGTACAAGTCCAAACACAGGCAAACATCTTACAGTACATTCACTCCTGCATACACACATTAGAAGAACAAGAACCAAAAATAATGGGAAAAGATTAAGGAAATGTTATACTATAAAAAATTAGGTTTTAACTGTCATATAAGACAAACCACAGATTCAACTGACCTGATAGTATATGACAGGGTTACCTCCAGTAGAAACAGAACTGGACAGAAGGGGAGTATGGTGTCACAGTGAGGAAATGCGTGGAAAAGCAGTTGGTTCTGCAGCAGGAGGAGTGTAGAGAAGCTAAGTGCTTAGCTTGTGTAGTGATGACAGATGAGAACTCCATGGTTAGCTCATCCTTTTTCTCCAGTTCCTGCTTTACCTGGCGGAGGTCATCTTTTAACTGTGTGTATGCTGGCAGGCAGTGTCAAGACACTGTCATAATAGTGCTTAACAGCTGTTGAAGGTAGCAAGCACTTAGCAAGCACTTAGCAAGCAGGCTGAAAACAAAACAAGGAGCTAGGCTAACACTGACCCCACCTAATAAAGCCACCAAACCAGGTTTCAGGAAAGGTGTCAAGTTGCAGCGGTGACAGTAACACAGTAGCAAATTGATCAAAAGGAAATTACTAAATCCACTAAAACACAAAATTCAAGAAAAACTGGCCTAGAGGCCAGTCAATAACTACCTGGCAATTACCAGTTAGAAGGAAAAAAGTTTATTTCCCAACGAGTTAAAAGTGTTTGCTGGAGGTTAAACAGGCCTATAGATAGGTCAGTAACCACCTAGCAACCCCCAGTTTCTAGGGAAAAATGTGTATTCCCCAACCTTGTGATTGCTTTCGCTGCTAGCATGCTGCTATGGTCATCATTTGAATGAAAGTGATTTGTCTACAGACGTTGTCTAGTTAACCCGTTTTCCCATTAATACCTACTCGGATTGACTCACCACGACTCGCCCACGTCTTGACTCGGATCGACTGGTTTTCCATTACAACTGAGTACCACCTAATGTGCATGGTCATTGTTATAGAAACTGGGCGGAGCGTTGATAAATACACGGTTAATGTATGAAATGAATGCTATAACAAAGGTGGACATCGAGGCAAGAATATACCTGCTGTTCAGTCTGTGGCTTTTCATCAGACTTGGGGACCATGGCATTGTTTTTTGTAGCCATTTCCCCTCGTTACCAGGTTTCAAAATAAGTGTTTTTGATTTTCGTGAATGGGATGCTATCATGACTCATTGAGCGATGCCCCTGACTAGCCAATTGGTGGCATGCAGTCTGACCACGTCACATTTTAGCAAAAGCTCGGTTCACTATGAACCCTGGCCAAGCAGGTACTATGTTAGTACCTGGTCCAGATACTATGACCTAAGAGAAGACCCTGAAAACCGTGGTGAACCATGGCAAGTCGATCCGAGTAGGTTCTAATGGAAAAGGGGCTTTTATCTCAAGTAAAAACTGTGAAAAAAAGTGGCGACTGTGTGTCTGCAAAGTATGAGTTGTGCCTTTTAAAAAATGTGGGCTGCAGTGCTGAAACTCCTTGTTTAGACATAGAAATAGACTGTATTTATCCCACACTGGGGAAATTCATATTGTACAGCTGTACAATGGTCAGCAAGAGAAGTGAATTAGAGACGTATTAGAGAAAAAAAAATCTTTGCTTTCAATTACACCCAACAGCCTCCAGGAACCACTAATGACCAGTTGTCAAGTGATGGGTGTTTTTCATCATTATGGAAGACAACTTTTGAGCAATGGGCTCATGACATGAGAAACCTCAATAGAGACAGCTGTGGAAACACTGGATTTGGGAAATCGCTAACATATGTGAAATAGTTCTGTGCAGCAAGCAGCAGGAGCAGTCTATGCTGGAAACTTTTGAAGGACCACTCTGGAGTTGTGCGTGCTTGCTCACTTAGCATTTCACTGACTGAAATATATATGTTATGTATATCTATATATAATTTTTTAAAGTACTGAGATCCAGAGAGTCCAGGACAAGCATTTTGCATTGCCATTAATTGGTCCATCATGTCTTAACTTATTGGTTTGATGATGAGCCATTGGATTTGTGAATATTTATTTGCTGCTTTCCACATATTTATGGTGTTGTCAGATGTGATAAATCATGAGCATTTGATGTACTAGTTGCACTTAAAGAAATACCAAATTATTAAAAGAGTGCCTGGCATTTACATAATACAATGTCATAAAATGGTTGTGTTTAACAACACTGGGCTGGTTACCCACACTGACGATGGTCCAAAGTTACAGCACAATAAAACATAGCACCTCTTATTTGTGCATTCAAGTGCTCCTCAGGTGGTCCAATTTTTGGAGTTTGGAAGTCATTTTTCAGAGTTCTGTGTGTTCATGTGCTTTTACAACACTTCCTCACCCCAGGGTGTCAAATTATGCCTTTCTGTGAGATGTGCCTGGGGTTGCAGAGATGCACAAGATGTCTTTTCAGACTTTCTGTGTTGTTGTTCCGACCTCAGGGGACGTTCACGTGATTTTTCTAGTCAGTATATAAATTTTATAGTAGGTGTGCACACAAATACATTTTGAGAATTGTACAACCATTAAGCCTTTGCATTTGTAATTATGTAATTATTTTAAGCAGCAGTTTGTTAGATTTGCTCACCATAAAGACTGGGAACAGCTTGCTTAATTATATTTCCTAAAGTAATAGTTCATCCAGCATCTCTGAAGTTAAGTTTGGTTTAACTTCATATGCTGCATCTCAGCCCTGCACTTTTTAAGTCTTTATATTCAGCAAAGCTGCAGACACATTAGTGTACAAAAATATTTCACTATACAAGATCTTTAACACAAAGATGGTACCAGATTAACTACACACAATTGACATCAAACACTGTAACAGTGTACCCGTGCATGTAATGCACAGTAATAGATGAACATTTGTGGTTTTAAAAGTATTCAGTGTTTACTTTTTCCATCTAAGAATAGGATTTCCTTTCTATCAGAATTTTAACCAGGACCTAAGAAAAGCACATTTTCTCCTTTCCCCAAATACAATGTTGGACCTGAAGCCAAATCTCACCTTCCTCAGACCCTCTTTATTCCTCAGACCTAAAAATTATGCCTATAGGCCCTACTTGCTCAATTCATAATGAATGTAAAACACTTCCGGTTGTCGCAGCTGATATCTCAGTGATCCTACTGAGCCCATCTATCCCCCCTTCTATTGGCCTAATAAGTAGATACAACTTGTATAATAATATTTTATTTTATGTGTATATGAATTAGTATAATATATGTTATACAATATACACAAGAAGCTATACTCAATAAAATGGGATGAAACTTTTATCGAATAGAATAATTTATAAATCGTAGGAAATGTAAAATATAGAAAACTGTGAAATATAACATTAAGCTTTGGTGGTTCTCCTCATGACATGGTACTCCAATGAGGGTAACAGTTTAATGCTGCTGAGAGCAAACGTTTTATTTTTTGGCTTGAATAAACACAATTGCCCACAATAACTGGTAAGAAATATTTTCTGTGTCTTGGATTTGACTTTTGCTTGAACAAATTCTGCAGTCATAAACTGAAAGCCAACTTGTTTTAAATAAAATGTTTTTTTAGATAAATTATTTTATTTTAAACTCTTTTTTAAATTACTTTTAAATCCCGTATGGAGCAGAGGACCAAAACTGGTCTTGAACGCGTATGTCCAAAAACCCCTTAGAATAATAATAATAATTAACATTTATTAACAAGCACCCAGGATTATCTGTTAAATCTATCAAAGTCGTACAGTTAATGTTTTAGGATAGTTTTTCCAAAGTGGACCCCTCAGGTTACTTTAGCGCAGACACCAACAAAGATTGTTACTCACACTGGGTGCAATCCCCCGCAATAAAGTTATACGTGTAGTGCAAAAATCCTGTTCTTCTCCACAGTTGTGACTTTCACACCATGGGTGTGACTGTCATGGTGATTTTGGACTCTTAATGATTTCTTTGATCGGTTCTTTTTCCAGGATGGAGTGATTGTACAGCATGCATCTTTAATGACTTTAAAAAAACAAGAACAAGAAGCAAGAATTAGGCGCACAAGTTTTAAGCAATTTAGGATTTTCTCTAATATACACAGAGTCAAAAGTACATATTCAGGATCTAAAATGTCCTTTGACTTGATAAAGCAAAGACATATTAACTTCTCATCGGTAATCATAATTGACTACAACTGGTAGTTTCTCTTTTTCTTTGTCTGATTGACCGATACTCAGAACAATGGTAAAGTCCAAGGAACAATGAAGCTCTAAAAAGAAGAACGTTTGAGCCATTTTTAAACATCTGCAAATTCTGAGATCATCAGTTCAAACAACTGTACATAAGTACAAGTTATTTGTATGTGTCACCGCTTTGCCAAGATCTGATAAGGCATTCAGGAACAACCCAGGAACCACAAAAGCTCAAGCCTGGAAACTGCTGAAACACCAGCGTCACTGTTCACAGTGGGTCCAGTATTACATTGCCTTAGCCTGATTAGGCACTGATCAAGAAAGAAGCCCCTATTCCAAAATCGCTGCCTTCAAGCTTGGCTGAAATTTGCAGTTGCACATATAGACAAGCAACTTGTCTTCTGGGGAAAAAGTTTTACGGTCAGATGGGATAAAGATTGAGCTATTTGGCTCCGACAGCACGAGGTATGTTTGGAGGAGCATGGTGGTGGTGCTCTCGGACTGTTATGCTGTCAGTGATACTAGTACATTCAACAAAGTGTTTAGAATAATGGAGTGCTACCTCCATATTCTTCAACATCACCTGAGATCAACAGCCCGAAGCTTGGACGTAATTGGGTGTTCTAACAGGACAATCATCCTAAACTTGGATCTGGTTTTGGAATGAATATAGCAGGCTAACATTAAGCTTGTGGAATGACCTTTTTAAAAGCCTTGGCTTCGACCCTGTTGAAAATTTGTGGACTATACTTAAAGCCAAGTGATGCCAGGAAACCAACGAATTTAAATGAACTCTACCAATTCTGTATTTAATCAAATATTAGTGGCGATGTAGCTTATACGTGTACTTTTGACCTTGTGTGGATAATTCTTATTTTTTTTTAAGTCATTAAAGATGGATACTGTACAATCATTTCATCCTGGAAAAAGAACAATTCAAAGAAATTATTAAAAGCCCCAAATTGCCATGACATTCACACCCATGTGTATGTAAACTTCTTACACCGATAGTAAATGTAAGTAAATCTTCCATCTTTGAATAATGAATCACACTCTTTGCAAGTGCAACAACTTACCACCGATAAGTTTATTTTGCAGTCAATTTTACACAACTGGAGACATGAATGTTGGACACCAGAACGCTTGTTACACATGGCACACTGTCACAGGTAGAACTTAACTTTGATGAAAGTTCATAGATATTTTTTCTTCATTAAACTGAGAATTTACATATATTTAAATGCTTGTCATTACATACACATGCATACAGATTACAGTCTCCAACTTTCAAACACAGACGCACACACAGACGCACACACAGACGCACACACACACACACACTGAAAACTTTTACATAAAGAAATGTACAAAATCACAGCCACAAACACTGCAGGTCTTAGTCAAGAGGTCCACCTGTGTGCCAAAAGTATGCATACATGATAAAGAAAAGACATCATTTGTACACTATGGCAAATTTATGGCAGGCAACATTTAAGAGCAGCTGAGCGACAACGGTCAATTCATTGGCAATCAAGACTTAACACACAATCAAAACATCATAAAACCGGCTCAACAAGCACAACCGCCAAAGTAACAGCATCTTAGCACAGAGATATGCCACATAGAATAACTACAGTCAAAATATTTTTTTAATCAGTTTTAGAAACACTCATTTACTTTTTTTTTTTTTTTTTTGCAGAAAGTTAAATGAGATTGATGCTAAAAATGCTGGCAAAAAGACAAGATATTAGCTTGCTGTCCAGGTAGCTTATTTAGCTAAGGGGAGGGGGGGTTTCTCTTCTAGTAAAAAAAGTCACTTCCAGCTAGTAGAAATCTACTAGGTATGGGAAACAGCCTTTTAGGTTTATTCATAAATTATATATATTGTATTTTTGGTATGGGTATAAAATAGGGAGTTAAATGAGGATCAGAGGCTAGCTGTTTCCCTAATCACTGGATATAGCTTCTTTTTCTAGCATACAGATATAAGCGTGTTATCACGCTATTATATATCTCTATATATAATATTAAAAAAAAGTTATCAGGGTTTCTCTTTGATACATTCGTTTGTTATAATAATTCTAAAATAAATGCAGGAAGAGGTTTATGAAAAGCAGTGTGGTCTCTTTTAGCCAAAATTTAGCTAAAAGCTACAATGCTCAGTTTTCCTCTAGCTAGTGCTAAGAATCAAAACAAATTCTCCAGATTTCCTCTAATCTCACAGTATGGTTAAAAACTGACACAGTTCACAGTTCACTAAAGTGAAGGGGAGGAATTTGAGATATGGCATGACAGAAAAACACATATCTCTACATTGAAAAAACAAAACAATGTTAATTTAAGTTTTATTATGGACATCAAAATGTTGGGCTTGTCACAAAAACAGATGTAGAAAAAGAATAAAAATATGGCATATAAGCATCTCTACCCCCTATCCTACATTTCTAAACATGAGCAAAACAGTGCCTGTCAAAACTGTCCACTCTCCTTAACATTTTACTGCCACCCTGTGGTAGACAAATACACAGCACGGAAATGAGCAAGGAGTCATTTTTACTCTTCTTTTTTTCACATACAGTAACAGCTTTGAGACATGGTCGTTTACATCTGAGCTGTTTAACACTCAGAGTGACGGCTGGTGATAGAAACACTTAAGCAGCAGCAGAGTGTTTGTGTTTAAAGTCACACTCTCTTACACACTTTGTGTTTTGTCTGTTGCATTTGTTCCACCTCTAAAAATCTATTTGAATAAAATCATGTCCCCTGTCTGTTGTCCTCACTCTACTGTCCACAAGCTGCAAAGATGATGCATTTGATATAATGTTACTTTTCAGAGGTTGCATCTGCTTCTTGTGTTTTTTGTCTTTCTCTAGAGTGAGAGACTTTGCTATGCATCTCCCACTCTCACTTCTTATGACACTACATTTATGGCACTTAGACCAAGAACACCACATCACTCAAAATAATGAAATCATACATTAGAACCACAACTATGTTTTATGCACAAAAAAGCATGTATACTGTACATATAGTCACTTTACATGGCACCTTTTCATGGAAAATAAATATACATCCTTCTCTGTAAAGTATCATCAATTCATTGTTCAAGGATACTACATTCTTAGAATCCAACTATGATGGTACATAAAATAAATATGGTGAAAAAACTATTTTTGTTTACATCATTTCACATTTTATTCTATTAAATAATTTTCCCACTTGTACAATTATTGTTTCTCAGCCTGTTTTTTGCACAAACAAAACAGAAAAATGAGCAAAAATCAGCGATTGTCAAGAGCTGTCACATTAAAGCCTTTAATGTTGACTGTTACACCACTTGTTTTTTTGTTTTGTTTTGAAGCCATTTATCTTTCACATTGCTGCTAAAATGAGTGTTGTAGATACATCATGGCTGTAAACCAAGAGATAAATAAAATAAATAAAAATGATGGAAAACTACACAGCAGGACTCTTTTTACACTGTGTGTAAGTTAATAAACTGACAATGATGAGAAATTCACTAATAAAGTTTTGAGACACACAATGGAAAAAGCATATTTTCTTCAATCTACACTGAAATCCACCACTCTGTACATTCTTTGAAATGACTCGCTGCACCTTTAGATTACCTGTAAAAATGTAAAAATGATAGCTATTTGTGACCGACTAGGCACTTTGGAATATGAGCGTAGGATGGTTAAAATTAGAGTAGGAACAATTTATTATGGCACAATGGTCTCAAGCTTGGAGGAAAGAGATCAAGAGACAATGAAATTTACAACATGCTCTTGAACAATTTACAGCCATGTTCAAGAGCATGTTGACAGTGGGAATCTCTCCCCTACAATAAAACGATGTACATTTAAACTCATGGCACTATGAAGAGCTTTGGGTGAAAGCATCCACTATATGGCACGTGTACTGTTTATGTTCACAGTTTGCAAAAAAAAATCTGTCTGAAAAGGGAAAAGGGGACTCGAGCTCCACTAGTAGAGCAGCTAAAGGCTCTAGTTGGTTCAGATAGTAGACCAGTGGTTCCCAACCTTTCTGATCTGTAACCGCTTAAAACAAAACTAAGTCAACTCACAACCCATCATCACACTCTGTGAGGACGGGCTGCTTATTTTAAGCATCAAGATGAGGAACTAGAAGGAAAAACAAACCAATATTAATGTCCACATTATGGCTAACATCTCACAGTCCCTCTAATTCAATCTAATCTTGGGATTCCCAAGGGTGGGAAATACTGTTCGTTCACATCTCTTTTATATATACTGTATGTGTTTTTGTTTTTCATTTCATACAAAAAATAGTCCAGACTAGAGTGGGCAGGATCTTCTGGGTCCTCTGGATATGGGATGTAGTCTACAGATCTGGGCTCCAGTTCCTTTTATTTGAAAAGGTCATAACAATACTGCGTTATCCTAAATAAAGAAATTCTGATCTAGACACTAAAAGTCACTATTTACACAATCCATGAGTTGTTGTTTTTTTCTTTATATATAAGTTATATTTTGACATACTCTGTACTTACGGCTGAAAGTAGAAAATGTTTAAATTCAAGACAAAACATTTAAACAATGAGCATTTTTTACAAGCAAGGCGAACGTTTGGTTGATAATTAACTTTGGGCTGTAATGAAATCCAGTCAGGCAACCAGTTTGGCACTTTGAAGCACATTTACTTTACACCAACAGCCAAATATGACCCCATACTTTATGTCAAGCTATTTATTTCTTAAAATGTATTATTATTATTATTTTAATAGTGTCTCTTGTGGCACCATCTCCTATCTGAATGTAAATAAAACAATAAAAGGGGGAAATATTATATAAAGAGAGTTTAAATCAATAAAATGTAATTTAAGTTGTGCAAAAATATTCATTTTAAGTCATTAATCATAAAAATTGCAACCTAAAGTAGTCTAAGGTAGTGAGATAAATTAAATATATTACTTCAATATTAAATTATAAAGACATAAAATCTCCAGTAAATGTTTTCAGAAAGATTAATTTTCTAAAGGTGAATTAACTACATGCAAGAGGTTTGAGGGGCCACTTTGGTCTGCTCTGGTTGGTCTGATGTAGGTAAGTGGAACGGCACCTTGAAGTTGATTCTAGCAAATCAGATGCTCAGGTCGGGAGGCTGATGTTGGCATTCTCCGCCAGCGGGCTCGACATGCGTATCTGCGAGCTGCTCTTGCTGAGGATCGACAGTTGAGTCCCGCCGTTCACTCCACTGCTGGCCAACGAAGGATGCCTCTGCTGCTTCAGGTCCACAGCAAAGTACCGGTTCACCGTCCAGCTGCGCCATTTCCTCTTGATCTCCGATTGCACCTTCAGGGAGAAACTTCACAAGGTCATTTTTAATGTACTTTAAGCTGTACCAGCTCCACGAAAAGGTACAGTAAAGGTGAGGTTTTTAGAAAGAAGAGTTTCCTAATGTGATCTAGAGCATTCGAAAGACATGCACGCATGCCAACTTTTTGGGATTTGGGACTGTAATATAACATGGCTTTTATAATAGATAATAATTCCAACGTTTTATGTATCAGGACATAGTATTAAAAAAAATCTGGTTCTTAGCAGGTATTAGTCGTACCCTCAACAAGCTGTGTGTGTTTTGCCTCCGTGTTGCCAGTGTTTTGTTTCCAGTTCAGTGTTTTCTGCTTCAGTGTTTTAGTCCACCAGCGTTTTTGTTTGTCTTTTGATGCCTTTAGTTAGTAAGAGGGTTTCCAGCAATAAAGCTGCGCTTTAAGTTGAACTTCTGTGTCTGAGTCCTGCATTTTGGATCCACCACTCCTGCTTGCACGCCTGCCACACAGCCAACCATGACAGTTAAAGATCATGACAGTACTATCAGAAAAGTATAATAAATATGGCCTGTTTCAAAGAGTTGTGAAGAGGAAGCCTCAGTTTAGTTTTTGCAAAACTGCATCTGAACAAACCAAAAGACATCTGGAACAAAGTGGAGTGTGTGTTCTTGATCATCTGTATTCAAATAATTTTCGAACCTGGTAAGGACAATATTTTTTTTATTATGTCCTGATATAGAAAACGTTAGAACTGAAACACTTTTTAAGATTCTTATTTAAAATTACTTTATTTTTTAAATTATAGCTGATCTGGGGAAAATATGGAAAAAGGTCATCAGTTCTCAGAAGGCACACTTTTTTCAACACTGGCCAGCAACTAATGCTTTACATAAATATACAATAACTCATTAGATTTTTAATATTTCTTACACTATATGTTTAAACAGACAGATTGCTTCTGCATCACTTGCAGATGCTTCATGGGAGAAGTTATACTATCTGTCCTCATATTTGCTTACAACTAATGTATATTACAACTAATTGTATATTATACAAAATGTATTAAATGGTGATACAATTTATATTAAGTTATATTAATTTGGGTAGGATTATAAGCACAGAGATTCATCCTGAAATTGCAAGCACAAGAAATATTATAAAAAATATTATGAAGAAGTGAGTGTGTATATGAATAAATAAGGGGGAAGCTTACCTCTCCATTGAGGAAACAGTAGAGGACAGCCACCACAAAGCCCTGAGGAGGAGGATGGAGAGAAAATTGAAAGAGAAATGAGAGAAAATTTGCTCGAGATTCAGTTTAATCTAACTGTGGTAATATATACATTTAATATAATCAAGCAACACTTATGACAGCTGTGCTATATATGTATAGCACTGATGTTATAAGACCTGTAAGAGAAAAGAAAGAGGAAAACTGACTTCTGCTTTTGCTGTGCACAACATACAGGTCTCTTCAGTATTTGGGATGTTAAATGTATATCAAAGTACATTATTTGGAAAAATTGGCCACCAGCAGTTAGTTTTACCTACAACTAATGGTTATATTTACATCTACCATTTTGTAAGTGACCAGGCTGATAAGACATATCTGCCACAGATACCTGTCTCTGTCAGTTTACTGCCAGCTAAGGTGACCAAGGCCTAACAAAATGCCTGACAAAAAGCCATAATTTTTTAAAAAGAAAATGAACAAAACCATTATAAGGTTTGGCATTTTATCTTTCTCATCAAATAAATACTATACGTATAAAATAAATGTTCAACTGTTCCTGAGAAGGAGCACTTCCTGGATTCAAACTGCTTCTGTTTAAGGTGTTCTTTGAAAAGGATAAACATACGCTAAATCCTCAAAGAACTCCAAGGCACTTTCTTTTCCAATAAAATTTAAAATGCCTTCTCAAGTCACTTTTTGATGACTTAGCACAAAATAAATCAAATGCAAATGAAGGTAAAGGGTTAACCTGCACTAGGAAGATGATGACAGCCGTGCCTGCTTTTCGTTAGAAAAAGGACAGACTTAGAAAAGCCTATCATGAACTCTCAACTTTAGAAAAATAGAGCCAGTGAAATTGTGGACCATTGTATCTACATGTAGCTTTACTTTAACAAAAACAATTGTCTATAAATGTGTTCCTCAGTGTGCTGTCAAAAATGTAAAAACACAAAAGAAATTGACTACCTAGCATGTTAGCTGATCACCCCCTAATGGCATCTTATTGGATGAAACAAACAAAATAATTTAAGTAAGTCACTGAAGATATTTTAGTCTTTTTTTCATCATTACTGATGCTGATCTTTCACTGATAAACACATTTCCTCCTGGCATCGGAGACAATATAGAATAATTGTTTCCATCTATTTTATCCTTTTATAAATCCAGTTTAATTGCTGCAGGGCTCATTTTAACAGCATTGTGTTTAACTGCATGTAGCTTTATAGCATTAATTTGTTATTCTTACTGCTTAATGTGCTGCCCAATATTACTTTCACAGTTTCACAACTGCTTCCAGTAAAAAGGCTTTATGGGGTATGTACTTAGCTCCTCTTCACTTTTCATAGCTGTTGATAATGACTGCAGAAGATAACTTTTGGATATTACTAAAACTCTCCTTAAGATCCTGCTGTATCTTCTATATTCAAATGATTTATTGTCCCATTACGTTCACTCATTCATCATCTGGGATCTCTTCTTTAAGTAAAACTGGATGATGAAGGAGCTGCAGGAGTGTACCTGGAAGGATCCAAGGCCCAGCTCGAACACAAGCCTCTCCCTCTTACTGACATCTTCAGGTGAGAAGGCGAACACGGTGTAGTGAATACCAAAGAGAGGGATGAGCAGGAGGGTGGAGCGTGCCAGACGCCTGAACAAACAACAACAAATAGTTTAATGAGATTGAGTGAGACACAAATCAAAGTTGTTTTAATGTAGATTTACTGGAGCTGGTCAGGTGACGCTAGAGATGCATTGCTGATGTAATGCTGTGCCACATTTCACTACTATACTGTTTCTTAAATGTTTCATTAAGCTGCAAATTTATATATTGATATATTAAAAATATATTAAAATTTATATATTAATATAATAATATATTAATCCTCAGCTTTGTATAAAAAAAGAGGATTTCCTTAAATAAATACTTAAAGTGTTCGAGGTAAAGGCTGGTGGTATTCTGTATTTTTCTTAATGTCAACAAACCCACTGAAAAGACCAAAACCAACAACAAACTGCTTTGTTGTAGTCTAAAGCCCCTCATTTCTAGCCAGTATATATAAAAAAAGATCAATGATGTACTCCTGTTTTTAGATGAACTTTTTTTTAAACAAGCACTACAGTTTATTTTCAGTTTCACATACACGGTCATGCATAAATAAATATTCTAAATCACCTAAAAATTGTACTGCTTAGCCCAGTTTTAGCGACTAAAAATCAGCATAGCCCAGCTGTTTAAGCTCTATAATATTAGGTCAGAAGTAGTTGACTGGATTTGTTGACAGTCAGAAAAATAAAATAGCACCACACATCCATTCTTAACTTTACGATTGAGGTTTATTTTAATGTATCAGTTCTTTTTAGGTCAAGACACCGGCAAGAACGCACTCAACTGCCGCTGTGTTTGATACTTTATGGCAGTCACATGAAGCTGTGTCATTACACTGTGGCGTGTATGATGGAGCCAACAACACTGGCTGACGCACAATATCAACGGCACAATACAGACAAACACTTGGTGGATACAACTGTGCAAAACAGTGGTTTCTACAGTGCGGTCCAGTGTCGCCAGGGGTCCTTATGAAATAGTTTCACAACTAGAGTTTGACTCGTTTTCTTGCTGAGAGTTACAGGAGAAGGTCACCTGTTTATCTGTCCACTTAGTGTGACGCTAGCTTAGCACCTAAAGTGGGAATGGAGAAAGTGCACACTGTAAAAATAAATCTCTAAAAATATATGTGATGTTTTGAAATGCAGAAATTTTCTACATACTGTTTTTTCTTAATATAAACTTACACTATTAAAAAAATATTATTATTTTTAACAGTGCAAGTTCAGGTAACAAACACTTATTTAGATATATCTGAATCCATCCTCACAGCTTAATATTTAACACATTGTCTATATTTACCTGAATCTAAACTTTTTTTTTTTGGCAGTTTATGGATTAAAAGTGTATAGTGAGGTTATACTGTTTACTCTTGTTTAGCTAATAAAAAGGTGTTGGTTATCCAACTCTGAGCAAGAAAACAAGTAAACAATATCCCAAAATGTCAAATTCTTTTAAATGTTTTATCATAATGGAAGGAGATATGCAACTAATAGTAACTATAATATATAATAATAAAAAACAGCACCAGAAATATAAATCGAAACAAACAGAAATTAACCGTAAATGAGTCCTTTCATAACTTATTGATTAGAACATTTTCAAAAGCATGAGCACTGATTAGATTTGTTCTGTTTTGTGAGTGAGGTAATGCATTGACAATTAAAAACCCCTAAAAC